GAGAGAGGAGAGGGTAGGAAGGGAGATAAGAGGTGATAATGTTGTTATTGCAAACTGTTAAGAGATGAGAAGGAGTTAATATGTTATGAGGCTTTGTTGGATGTTATAATGTTTGATATTTGTAAATATGTATGAGGTGCTTTTTTTATTAAAATGTTGAGTTTAATAAAAAAAAGGTTCCCATCAGCATGTTTACCCAATATAGGTCACGTGTTTTATAGTCATGCTCAATGTTGGCTTCATTTAATTAACTTCACAGTTGGTTTCCATTACTGAGCACATGCTGCTTTCGGCAGCAGCTTAATGAGAGACAATGTATTTAATGAAAATTCCTTGTATGCAGATGTAAGACAAGGGGCTTTTTTCCCATGATGATTGGGGGAAAAAAACTGTGTCTTGTATTTGGGTAAATATGGTACAAAATTGAATGGAATCTGACTCAGTTGCTCTTAGCTGTATTGGCTTTCAAGTTTTTACAGGCGTAAGATAATGTAAAGATGCCTATTTATTAGAGCCGCGCAAAACAGCAGCATTCCGCTTCAACATCTGTTTCGACAGAACAGTGTTTCGTTTCGAGCTTTGTTTCATTTTGAAAGCACAGTTTTGTACCATCTAAAGGCGAACTCAGCCAAGCTGAGTGGAACTCAGCAGCCCCATGGAATGTAGCCTTGTGGAACTCACAGCAGGAGGCAGAGTGCAGTGCCGGCTCTGCCTGCTTTCCACCGCTGGGCTGAGCTCCATGGGGCTGGTGGAGCCGATCAGAGTGCAGCCCGGCAGGAGGCAGACAGAGCCAGCGCTGTGCTCCCATTGGCTCCACCAGCCCCACCAAGTGCAGCCTGGCCCCGGGAGGTAGGGAGAGCCAGGACTGCGCTCCCCAGTGGGCTGAGCCACATGGCACTGTGGAGCCGCTGGGAGTGTAGCCCTGGTTCTCCCCTGTCTCCCACCACCTGGCTGGCTGCTTCAAAACTCAAAACATTTTGAAAACTGCCCTTGTTTTTTTTCAAGACTGTTTCAAAGCCCTTTGTTTCATTTCCACTTCACTGTTTTGAGCTCGAAATGAGTCAAAACAATGTCAAAACGAAACAGCCGGCAAAATTTTGCACAGCCCTACTATTTATCTCTCTCTCATATACATATGTAATGTATGTATGCATGTATGTATATAATGATTGAACACAGGTCAGAAGGGAGTCATCTGAGAAAGAAGTCACCATTTTTATAGCCACTTTCTACAATTAAACTGTATTCTAAGCATGATCCAAATCATACTAATCAACTGTTAAGCTTAGTTTTCCCCACTTAGGTCTTATTCCTTTTATTAGGTGCATTCTCTTAATTTCCAGCATTCTCATTACTGCAGACTCAGCTTCCCTAGGGCTCCTTTTCGTGTTCATCATTAAGTACTTATAAATTTAACATTCCTCCTATGTATTACACAGAATCAAGACTTAACTGGGTGCATGTATATTGCTACCTTGGGGAAGCTTGATATCAAACAATATCACTGAAATAGCAACAGTGATTTCCTGGGTATTATTTATCAGCATATAGTACAAAATTATAGATAGCCAAAATATGAAATACAGATAGCAACAAATGCAAAGGAATCTGAAAGTTAGGCTAGATATTTCTGTCTAATAGTATTAATCTGGATAGCTGGAAGTATATAAAAAAGGGCAGTATCCATTAATATAATCTATTTTCTAACATTAATATCTTAATTATTTCAGACTTTAAAGAGTTTACATTTCTGTAGCTTCCCGTGCCATTTACCTGCACGTCGAGTATGTGGGGTCCTCTCTGACTTTGCTGTTGTTTTAGGGAAAAAACAGGTCTGTTAGTAGGAGGACTTTGGTTGGTCTCCCAGGGGGTCTCTCCTGCCATGTCTTTGATGGAAAAATATTTTTAATTGGGAGGAAGACGGTCTGTCCCGTCCCTCCTAGTGCCTTTCTTTGGTCATCCCAGTTGTTCTTCCTGGTTGGGGCTCCGCCTCCCCTACACCCCGCCTAATGCCAACCAAAGATGTCATCACCTGGACCATCAGAATTGGTATACCATTTACCTTGGTGCTTCGGCCCTTTAAATGTATGAGAGTAGGATCAGAACATTGTTTTGGCCTAAGTGCTCCCCACTGTCCCTTTGCCTCATCTATGCGTCTTCCTGCTCCGGTGCCATCTTGTTCCCTGGCATCTCACTCCCTACTTGGGCTTTATACTTGCCATGAGTCAGTAATTTATTAATCCTTGCCCTACTTGGTCCTGCCGGAATCCAGTCTACACTGTGGATGTCCGGTATCCATGAGGCCTGAGCAGGTAAGTCCTTGGGCCCTCTCTGGCCCTCCGTTCCTGCAAAAGCTCCTTCCTGGGGCAGCCACCAGGTCCCTGTACTGGGACCAGGTTCCAGATCTGGCCTCTCCAGGCTGGTTGGGGACCTCACTTCTGGTCCTCCCGGCTGGTGTCCTGATGGGCTTTTTATCCTGGCTTCAGGGGTCCCAGCACACTGCCATAAAGTGCACCCACGCTGGCTTGGTAATTTTTTTTCCTCTTTTCTTTTTACCGCAGCATCTCTTCCTGCCATGGTTTCACTTTCACGGTGCTCTCTTTCCAGCGCAGCATCCTGCCGGCTCCACTCCTCACCTGGCAGAGGTAAGTCTTTTCCACAATTTCCATTAAAAAGCAGATTTTTTTCATTGTAGACATAAATATATAAATCAAACCTTGAAATGAATAACCTGTATCTGACCCACAAACTAATATTAGTGAAATAACTCATTGTTCATTCCAAACTTAAATTATCAAATTATTAACTCAGGGTACAGTCATACAAGACAGAGTACCATATATACCCATATAAGACCAATTTCTCCAAAACTGCATGATAGATGTAGGAGTAGAAGTAGTCATAAAAACTAGTAGAATATTACACAGAAAATTTACAAAATATTTTGTTTCAAATATTCAAGAAATGTTTCTATTTTTGACAGAAGTTTTCAACAAGGAAACAAAAGGAAAACAAACCCCAGCCCACAACCAACAAGCTCAGCTGAATCTTTTCACAGTTTTTCCCCAGTCAGCTTTCTGACAAAATGTTTACTGGAAAAAGATAAAGCTACCACTGAAAGCTTAAAATTTGGAAAAATTAAACCAGTTATAAGATTAATCTATTGTGCAATGGTCTGTACACTGATCTAGGATGCAAACAGACCCGCTTTCTTATCTGGCTTTCATACTCTTCATGATTTCAAATCAGTCATGACCTCTCCATCTGTTTTTTCACCTTTGGAATAAGGAAAAAAATATTTCTGTAGCTCATACAAGTAAAGGTTCCATGAAGATTAATCTGTTAATAGTTAAAGATGAAAGCTGCAAGGTGAAATATAAAAGTATCTTTTGTATTGTATTGTATATTTTAGTATGTTTATCAGTTATCCAGAAAAGAATGAATGAGGAAAACATTTTTACTTTACCATCAGGGAACATAGGAAAAAGGTAGACCTTTTCTTTAATCACTTTTGACTAAATGAATATGAAACTAAAAGAGATTTAAATATAATGAAATTGAGCATAATATACAATAAATAGCATTCTGATCTCCGAAGCATAATACAGAATAATAAATTCTACTTGTTACCAGCTTCCTTTTTGATTGTACTGCCCTCTGAACAAAAGCAAAATGGGATTAATCACACAATGTTTGTTAAATGCTATAATGATGAAGGTCATATACACTTCCACTGGCATAGATGATATCAGCCACTGTTTGAAACAGGGTACTGAAGTAAACAGACCTTGAGTCCAATCCAGAATGTCAGTTGTGTTAAGTGTTACTTAACTGTTAAGTACTACTTAAAATTAGCATTAAAGTCATTGATAAGTATTTGTATAATACAAATAAAAGTAAAAATAAGAAGAGATGTTCAGATTAGACCCCACTTTTAGTCCTAGTGGAGTTAAATGAGAAAATCCTTTGATTTCTTTGAGCATAGAATCTGTGCATTCCAAGCTATGGAATCTTTTCAATTTACTGTTTTCCACAGCAAATATATAGTTCTGACATCCCCAAAAATTAAGAAACCACTCATTTCTGAAGAAAACAAATGTAAAAGGTCACAATTTTAAGCAAAAAAACCCTCTAATTTTTCAAATAAAATTATATAGAATTTTAAAAATCCAAGTCATGTTTTCAGACTCAGATTCACTAGGCTGGAAGAAACCTGACTGTATGAAAAACCTGAGAAAAAATCTTGTTCAATAGTAACCTTCCCACTGGTACAAAGAGCAGAATTTGTTATGAAACAAACCTAAATCACTTCTTCATCACAGAAGTTACAGCTGTGACAAATTTACAGTCTTATGGCTGCATATATATGTTCAAATAATCTGCGAAAATTCTCCCAAGCTTGTTTTCTTGGGAGCAAAAAACTTACCCAGAGATGCCTGAAAAGATATTTGAAAGATGACTCCTGAAGACCAGAGAGCTTGCAGCCCTGACATGCATAGCAGGGGCCCCTGTGCACCCATCTCAACATATTCTGCAAGATCCCTCAGTCTGCCTGGGCATAGATGGCAGCCCTGATTAGCTGACCCAGACTGCTCAGGTTAACCAGTGTCTCCCTACTGCACAATGTGAGGATGATGAAGGGAGTGTGTTCTTCTCAGCTTGATCAGTAGATTTCAGCAAGCAACACACTATCACTTGGGGGAAGAAAGGGCCTGAGCAAAGTACCATGGGATGCTAAAGGACTGTTCTGTGGCTTCTCTCATAAGAGAATATGTACAGACATTCACTGTCCCAGGAGAAACTCTCCCAGGAGTGATTTAATGCTGGTTGTTTCCAGGTAATTTTTCTACTAGAGTGGCCATTTTTACTATGGGAGAAGAATCCTGGGCACCTGTACACCAGTGTTTTCTCCTGGGACAGTCGTGACTGTGTATGTGGCCTTTTAAAATTCTAATATATTGGTAACCTACATAAAAAAAAAATGTTCACTGACTACCTACTTGAATGATTCCTCCTAAAAATGAAACTGCTGCAGCAACTCCAATCCTCTTCATTTCAAATTCTGATAAACCCAAGACTCCTGAATTGTTACTTGTAGTGAAATTATTGCTGCTTGGAGGAACAAGACGCTCAACTGCATTGGCAGATATCAAGGAAGTTAAAGCAAAAGTTCCTGAAAAAGAAAGTTCACGTAGTTGTTACCAACAAGTTCACACTCTCGTTCTCACTGTGGTATAGATTTATTATTAAAACCACATTTCCAAAGCACAGCCTCGTAGTGACTGTGAAATTTTATACATTCAGTTACTTCAAGTGCAGTTTTAAAAGTACCATCACCTGTGGAATGCAAATATCTACATATAGAATCCTATTTGATTTTTGTCAGTAAATTCACACAAAGTAACAGGATTCAAAATTGCTCAAGCAAGTGATCTGTTTGCATGCACACACACACAAATAAGGGTGCTTTTACATGTGCTATAGGAGTCAGGGGGAGCATCTAAGAGCCACTCTAATTAAAGTGCCACCGTGTCTCCTGTATCAGCATCCTCACACTTAAAAATGGTGTGGGGGTGCTTGAACTAAGTGGTTGCTGGGGTCCAGAAGGGTTTGGTGGGATCAGGGGGCTCACAGTGTCTGTGGGGGGACCTGAGGGGATGGAGGGAGCTCTCTCCCCCACTGCCCAAGACCAGAGGCTATTTTTAGCCCCTTGACCCCCCTACTCCCAGAAAAACAACTCCTCCCTGTGAACCCCACCCTTCCTACCCCTCTACTCACCCTGACTTACTTCCTTATCTCCTGGCATTGGCAAACGCTGATAAAACCAGCACCAGGAGCAGC